CTTTATCCTAGCGCTAAACTATTCCCCGGCAACGGCGCCAAAAACTTGATAACACAAATCTAGGTATAGAAATAATGCTCAAGTGATAAAAACCTAGATACAACGAATACCGCAAGGATACAGATCAACTGTAGTTTCAGGGTCGAACACAGGGAATAGTTAACTATAGGAACAAGACTCAACCAAGAATTAGATCAGGAAATATGGAATGAAGTATGTGAATATCGAAAATAAATTAATAAATCAATTACGTAAAATCAGATAACTAAACCACCATAGCTTCGGGATAACCTTAACGTGCAGGGATTGTTTCTACGGATGGAGAACCTACGAATATCGAACTCTAATCGGGGACCTCAAGTTCTAGTATCAGATTTGACTCTTTCAAGTCCTAAATCCACTATCCAATAATTTAACCTATCGATCACTCAACCTACTAGATTAAAATATCAAATGCATTAACGATCACTATCACAGTTCCTAAACCGATTAACCTATCTTTCAATAGTCTTAATCAATTCATTCAATGAATTCGTTCCGAATCTAATCCCAACTTTCGTTGCAAATCAGAATCTAAGATCAATCAATCAACATGCCAAGAAGATCAAAAGCAATAAACTCAATTCAATTAAACCGAAGAGTATCGATAACGTAGTCTCGGAAAATAAAAATCAAACAAATCCCTACAAGGTTAAATCCCTAGCTACAGTGAAACGACTACTCGCAACCCATAACAACAAACGAGTTCAAATCAATAAGAAGAAACATAGAAACAGATAAAGAAGACTCGCAGTGATCTCTCGACGACGGTTCTTCAATCTCTGCTCCCGGGAAACTCCGTCTTGATTCTCTCTCAAGTTCCCTAGCTTCTGCTGTGATCTCTCGATGATTTCTGTGTACATGGGAAATGATCATGTCTTGAAGATCGCTGACATTGGTACCATTAAGGTAAAGATGGACGACGGTGTAATCCGCATCATTCAAGGGGTACGGTATGTGAAAGGCTTGAAGAAAAATCTATTGTCAGTTGGACAATTAGATGATGTTGGGTGCAAAACCCGTATTGAGAATGGGATCATGACCATTTTCAAAGATACGCTTGTGGTTATGAAAGCTGAAAAGGTGGCGGCAAATCTGTACATGCTTAAAGGAGAGACACTACGGGAAGGAGAAGCAAGTGTCGCAGAATCAAAATCAACAGAAGAATCGATGATGTTGTAGCACAAAAAGCTTGGTCATATGTCGGAATGTGGCTTGAAGATTCTCGCAAAACGAGATCTTCTCCCGGGGCTCAAAAAGGTGACACCGCCCTTTGTGAGCATTGTGTTACAAGTAAGCAGCACAGATTGAAGTTCAGCAGCTCAACTGCTAGAAGCAAGGCTATCTTGGACCTGGTTCATTCTGATGTTTGGCAAGCACCGGTGACGTCCTTATGAGGAGCAAGATACTTTGTATCTTTCATTGACGATTACTCCAGGAGATGTTGGGTGTACCCCATCAAGAAGAAGTCAGATGTGTTTGAAGCTTTCAAAATCTTCAAAGCGCATGTTGAGCTTGAATCTGGAAAGAAGATCAAGTGTTTAAGGTCAGACAATGAGGAGAATATACTGGCGATGAATTCTACCGGTTCTGTCAACAAGAAGACATCAAGAGGCAGTTCACGGTGGCTTACACACCACAACAAAATGGTGTAGCTGAGCAAATGAACAGAACCTGATGGATGTGATGCTCTAGGATGATCATACGATATGAGAACTATGTATGATACGATGTATTTATTGGATGAATGCATTGTTTGTTCATTATTTATTTTGCATATTTGATAAATAATGATATCCATGGATCATTAAGAACCTGAATTCCTTAGTCGCTTGTCATTGTGGGAGCAATGATGAATTAAGACTAACATGAGGCGTGATGGATGATCATGGTGATGATCATGTGTATTGGATACGGATCACGGTCATGAGTACTTGCTTGGAACAAGTGACTGGATGACTCGCGTGAGATTGTCGATTGGATTTTATCCATGACTTGAATCTCACTTGACGGTTCACTTTAGATCCTCAGACCTGAGATATCTATTGTATCCATCATGACGAGTAATGTACTTTGACTGCGTCAAACGTCGTCTTTAACCGGATGATTATAAAGGCGTGGCTCGGGTACATTATGAATCATGTAATGGATAGTAGATAGTCAAGATAGAACTTTGTCCCTCTCGAAAGAGAGAGATATCGCTTGGGCCCGTCGTAGGAGTGAGACTGTAGAAATGTGTGGCTGCACTATAGATGAATGTCATCTATCTCTTATAGTCTACACAGGATACGACAAAGCATTCGAACTATGAGTTCGATTATGATATCGTGAGACAAAGAGGATCATCGTTGGAGCTATCTCTAGCTTTTCGGTTAGATCACATCTAACTCTTTCTGATACGGGTAATCATAATGTCTTGCTAGAGACCGCTTATGATTTGTAAAGCGAGATTGGATCTCGTGTTTACTACCGTATTAGGAGGAGCCTAAAGGGTCACACACATATGGGATGGACGTGTATGGACGGGATCGAACGGATGAGAAAAATCAGATTTTTCTTCGTCCTTGAGGTCTGGTCCAGAACTGACCAAGAGTTGGTCAGCCAGACAAGATGCACTTGGGAGAAACAGACCGATTTGTCCGAAATAACTGGCTGGTCCGGAGCTGACCAAAAGTTGGTCAGCCGGACCAGACTAGTCAGTCGAAGCAGATCGTGTTGGTTCGAGCATGGCTGGTCCGGCGGACCAACAAGTCAGGCGGACTCAACTTCGTGGTCCGGAGTGTGGTTGGTCCGGGGAACCAAAACTTGGTCCGCCGGATCGTGCACTGTCGGCAAAGGTCGGATTTTACGTGTGCTTGGTCCGGCTGACCAAGAGTTGGTCAGCCCCGTACCAAGACACTGAAAAATCTGAACTTCGCGTTTTCTCGCCTTTTTCTTGGTGGGAAGCAGGTGGGGAACCCATCACTCAACCTAATCCCGACCCTTAGCCATCTGAGAGGCTGGGAAACTCTGAAGAAGTCTCTCTCAAGCTCAAGAGAGTGTTCTTGATCCATACACAAGAGAATTGTTCTCTTCAAGCTCTAGCAAGCAAGATTCCAACTGTTGGAATCCATCCCAAGGGTGTGGACTGCTCAAGAGGGCGTTGACACTTTCAACACCTTGGTTGTGATCAAGAAAGTTCTTCATCGAAAGAGAATCTCAGAAAAGTCCTGAGATTCTCTTTCTTGAGGGCGGTTCAAAATCGTTTTCTCCTCAAGAAAGATTCTTCATCGAAAGATTGGTTCGTGGGCGGTTCAAAATCGTTTTTGAACCCCAATTCCGCTGCGTAAGCCCGTGGACCAGATCCTAGCACGGTTTTGAACCGGCGGTCTAGGATCCCGTGTGACCCAGAAGTGGTATCAGAGATCGGTTCTTCGTTTCGATGAAGAACGATCAATCTTGAGCGAGTTTGAAAATTGTTAAAACTTGGTTTTTTCTTGGTTTTGATCTAAGTTTAAATCTGTTATATGATTGATTCTATGGTAGATTAAATTATGTAACAAGACTTAGATATATGGAGGCTTGAATCATGAATTAACTCGAGAAAACGGAAAGAAAAACGGATTCGAAATGAGCGAAAAATCAGATCAAGATGAAAAATCTCGTCTGAATTTTGGCCCAGAATCCCGTGGTCCGGCGGACCAAAAGTTGGTCAGCGCCGGACCACAGGTTCGGACTTGCACAGATCAGTTCGACGGACCAGAGGAAGAAGCTCGGACCAAAAAGAAAACAGTCTTGGTCCGGCGGACTAGACTTCGGCTTAGTCAGCACGAGCTTGGCGGACCAAGGAGAAGTCTCGGACCAAACTGTCCTGATCCGGCGGACCAAATTGTTCGTCCGGCGGACCAGACGTGATGTTTGGTCCGACGAGATTTTTCGTTGGTCTGGGAGTGCTCCGACACATCTGGTCCGGTTGACCAAACGTTGGTCAGCCCGGACCAGGACGTTTCGGATCAGATGGACCAAGGAGCTGGTCCAAGAAGGAGAGACGCGGACTGGAGGTGTCTGGTCCGGCGGACCACAGTTGGTCAGCCTCGGACCAACAACCTCAGTCCGTGCGTACCGAGTCTGGTCCGAGAGACGAAGCTCCGAACTGAATGTGTTTGGTCCGGCTGACCAAAAGTTGGTCAGCCCCGGACCAACACTTCAGTCCAAGCAGACCGAGCCTGATCCGTGCGCGAGAAGAAGTTGTCTTGGGTTTGGTCCGGCGGACCAAATGTTGGTCAGCCCCAGACCAACCCGGCTGACTCAGCCCTTTTTTCTTCTCTGGTCCGAACTGACTCCGAGGCACGTTGTGGTTTGGTCCGGCGGACCAGAATTTGGTCAGCCCCGAACCAACCACCTGTTTTCGGATTTTAGCGTTTTCTGAATTCGATTCGGTTAAGTAATGGTTACTTGACTGAGTTAATCATGATTGTTTTGGTTTATGACTTAAGTATTAGAGGGTCTACATGAATTAAGTACATAAAACTCAATCAAGTATAGGAGTTACTTGATTGAGTGGGAGTTTCGGGACTTAGTTTACTAAGCTGAATAGACGGTCTATTCGGGCTAAGTAACAGAGTCAGATCAAAATATAATTGTTATATTTTGATCAATCGAGAATAGAGCTATTACAAGTAGAGTTCTTGCCAAGACCTTGGTAATTCGAGTATGGAACATGCCAAAGCTGTGCATACCGGATTATTTAAGTGAGACAAGAATTGAGAAATTGTACTTCTCATTTCTCGAAAGTAATAAGTTGCTTCTTGATAACGATAAAAACCCTCGTTATAATTTCAAGCTTATACCGCCCATATTTCGAGCACTTATTGTAAAATTTGTGAATAACAAAAGCAAGGAGATGAAGATTGATTACGAAAGAGGAGATAAGAATGATACAAGGATAGAGGCGAGCTTTATGGCGTTCAATTTCCCCATTGCTATGGTACTTGATTTTGAACACCCATTTGCAGTCCATAGCCCGTTTGTTTGGTGGAAGATCAGTGATCTCCCAAGTGCCATTCTTTTGAAGAGCTTGAATTTCATCAGCCATTGCGTGCTGCCATACAGGGATGTCTTTTACTTGATTGTAGGAACTTGGTTCAAAGCCCTGCTCAATGACACTCAAAAAACTACGTTCGTTAGCATCAAAGTGTTCAAGAGTGGAATACTTATCGATGGGGTGTGCCACTGCAAGTTGAGAAGTAGAGGATTTCCACCATTCAGATGGTGGTTTTCGTTCCCGTGTGTTGCGCCGAAGTGTAACAGCAGGTTGAACATTGTTAACAACGAGGGACTGGTCACTACGTGTATTTGAAGTAGAATCAACTTGTTCCACCGTGTTGATCGGAGAATTGGCTGTCGGTTCCCCCTCATTGGAATCAATAGGTGCCTGGTATGCATTATTATTTTCCCTTTCAAATAAGTCCCCGAGGGCATGCTTGTCCAATGTATCGTTTCCTGCATTGTTAGGTTGAATAACTTTTGGCATGGAAGTAAGAGGAGCATGAGGGATATCATCTGCATGAAGATAGGATGACGGTGTCCCTTGATCAGTTTGTGCCCCAATACAGCGAATGGAAGTCATCAAATTCATAAGGGAAGTGTTATAGTCAGGTTCTTGGTCTGCAAGGTTCTCCAATGATTCCCAATTCTTTTCTCCGAAGTAGCCAATTTCCTCATGAAAGATTACATCCCGGCACATGTAAATCCGATTGTTAGGAGGGTACCGCCCATATTTCGAGCACTTATTGTAAAATTTGTGAATAACAAAAGCAAGGAGATGAAGATTGATTACAAAAGAGGAGGTAAGAACGATACAAGGATAGAGGGAAAATAACTCAGATTTCCTTAAGTCTCTATTTCTTATTTTAAGTGATACAAGATATTACTTATTTATAGTAGAGAAACTAGTTGTTACAGCAAACATTTAATGAATAGGTAGTTGGGAAGAGAATTGAATAAACTAGCTGTTGGAGCCTTGCATGTTCAGGAGCATTTATGAGGTAGGTGGCAAGTAGTAGCTTCCTGCTGTATGTCTCAACATTAACTCCATGGGCCTTTCTCAACAATTCATATCCCATCTGATCAAGTACGCATGCACACCTTATGGACGTTAGGTTGCTTGTATTTCACTTAATCCGATGGTTTCTTGCTCCTCAAGTCTGCTCGTGTTGTGTTAATTACTCTCTTGTTCTTCAACACTTGTCAAGACTTCGATCGTCTGTGTATGGGTCATGCCAAAGCTGAGCATACCGGACAATCTTTGTGAGACAAGATGGAGAAATGGTGATTCTCATATGCTCGAAAATGGTTTGGCTTGAGTTAGATTATCAAGTTGGACTTGGACTTAACGGTATAGATGGGACTAGAAATATGCGGTAGTATAATGATACTATTTTCCCATAACGATCTAAGAGTCACATTGGATGTGATTGACATTGGATGTCTACCTAAATAGCATAGCCTTGAGCGTCATGCCAAAGCTGACTCAGGTCTATGTGAAATACGGATCTTAGCCTGCTAAGAAAATTACTAGAGGGTTATTTTTCTTAGTGGGAGTTTATCTCATATTTGCATCATGTCATCCATGATAGTAATTATACTATAATTGGTATTGTACTAATTGATATCGCATATTGTGTTGTTCTGTTTATCTCTGTAGGACATGGAGATAGGTGGTAGTGTACCAACCGTGTCATTGCGATCTATCCTTGAGAAGGATAAACTGACCGGGACGAACTTCTTGGACTGGTATCGGACCATGAGAATTGTTCTCAGGAACGAGAAGAAGATGTACGTCCTGGAAGGGGCTCTTCCTAGTGAGCCCTCGGCCAATGCTGCGAGAGCCGTTCATGATGCTTGGTTGAAGCATCAGAACGACGACCTGGAGGTCTCTTGCCTCATGCTCGGGACAATGTCTCCTGAACTGCAGCGACAAATTGAGGGCGTCAACGCCTTTGATCTGCTCGAGCAGTTGAAGACTATGTTCCAAGAGCATGCGCGTGTTGAGAAATACAACACGTTGAAGAACCTGCTTGCATGTCGTATGATGACAGGGCAATCGGTTAGCGCTAATGTTCTTAAGATGAAGGGTCATCTTGAAGAACTTGAGCGTTATGGCTTGAGGATCGACAGGGAGTTGGCTGCTGACCTTGTGCTCCAGTCTCATCCAGACTGCTATGATCAGTTCATCATGAGCTATCATATGCATGGCATGGATAAGACCTTGACCGAACTGCATGGGATGCTGAAACGGCTGAGACGAGCCTTAAGGTCGAGAAGAACATGCTCGTTATTTCGAAGAGTTCGAAAAAGCGGAAACGTTCCAAGGGAAAGGGCAAAGGCAAGGCAAGTGGGGCAAATGTTGCCAACAAGGCCAAGCCTAAACCCGAGAAAAGAGAGTGTCATTTCTGCCATGAAATTGGTCATTGGAAAAGAAATTGCAAACTCTTTCTGGAAGATCTGAAGAAGAAGAAGCTTGCTGAAGCTTCTACTTCAGGTATTTACATTATCGAAGCTAACGTATTCACTTCTTCATTCTGGGTATTAGATATCGGATGTGCCTCACACATTTGTGGAAATGTGCTGGGTCTCAAAAGAAGTAGGACGTTGGCTCGAGGTGAAGTGGATCTACGCGTCGGGAATGGAGCAAAGGTTGCTGCATTGGCTGTCGACGTTTATGATTTATCTTTATCGTCTGGACTAGTTATAGAACTAAGTAATTGTTACTTTGTGCCTGCTATAAGCAGAAACATCATTTCTATTTCCTGTTTGGATTTGGATGGTTTCCGGTTTGTTATTAAGAATAAGAACCTGATGATGTTCAAAGACGATATCTATTATGGTAATGGTTACCTTGTAAATGGATTGTATGTCTTGAACGATCAACCTTCCGATTCCATGTCCGTATATAACGTAAATGCGAAAAGGTTTAAGCCGAACAACTTAAACCTGACCTATCTGGCATTGTCGTTTGGGCCACATCAACGAGAAACGCATACAGAAACTCCTCTCCGAAGGATTTTTGGATTCTTTCGATTATGAATCGATTGAAGCATGCGAATCTTGTTTGATGGGTAAAATGGCAAAGTCTCCTTTTAGCGGAAAAGGAGAACGGGCGTTAGAGCTATTGGACCTGATACATAGCGATGTATGTGGGCCCATGAGCTTACCCGCTAGAGGAGGTTATTTGTATTTCGTCACATTTACTGATGATTTCAATAGATTTGGTTATGTCTATTTGATGAGACATATATCTGAAACTCTTGAAATGTTAAAGGCTTTCAGAAACGAAGTACAAAACCAGCTTGGCAAGACTATTAAGTCATTGCGATCGGATCGCGGTGGCGAATATATGAGCCAAGAGTTCACTGACTATCTGGTAGACTGTGGAATTGTTTCACAGTTGACCCCTCCTGGAACGCCACAGTAGAATGGCGTGTCTGAACAGAGGAACCGCACCTTATTAGATATGGTACGGTCTATGATGAGTCAGGCTGATCTTCCAAAGGCTTTCTGGGGTTACGCCTTAGAGACTGCTGCTTTCATACTGAACAGGAGTCCAACGAAAACGATTCAGAAGACTCCATATGAGATATGGACTGGGAAGCGTCCCAGTTTGTCTTTCTTGAAGATTTGGGGATGTGACGTTTATGTGAAACGTCAGGCTTCTGATAAGCTATCCGCCAAATCGGACAAGTGTTTGTTTGTAGGATACCCTAAGGAAACTAAAGGGTACTACTTCTACAACCGGGTCGAGAATAAAGTGTTTATTGCTCAGAACGGGAAATTCCTGGAAAGAGAGTTCGTCTCTAAGGGAATTAGTGGGAGTAGAGTTGATCTCGAAGAAGTTCGAGAACTACAGACAGATGTTGGACCGAGTGAGCAAGTTGAAGATGTTCAACCTGCATCACAAGGACTTGAGACTCCGCCTGATACTTGTGAACCTCGGAGATTGATAACTCTGATGTTCAACCTGCATCACAAGGACTTGAGACTCCGCCTGATACTTGTGAACCTCGGAGATTGATAACTCTGATTCTTCTCTATATTTTGATGAGAGTTTGTCTAGGTTTTATAGGATAATCACATGCATTCATAGGCATTCTAGGCTTGTTAGGAAACAAAACCCGGTTGTGCTCTAGTTTTGCAGAGTTACAGGTTTCGGAGATGATTGGACTCGAAAAGGAGCTAATTGGAGCGTTAAAGGAGAAGTCCGGATGAGGTACTCATGTTGCGATATCAATAACTTTCCCGTTCCCTACAGAAGTCCAAATCGTGCAAGACTGTACCATTGAAAGAGCACTTCAAGAGCTTTGCGTAGACACCAAAATCGCGTAAATCCGACACCAGAGCAGAAAGTTATGAACGAATTCGTGAAGACCAGAAAACTGCCAGTGTAGGGTCGATTCCAGTTGGAATCGGTCCGATTCCAGAACGCGGAATTCGACCCCAGGAATCTGGATCCGGTCCGGATCCACCCGGAAATGGCCCGGATCCAGTCAAAAACCCTGTTTCGCGATTTTCAGCATTCTATCGGGAATAGGACTCTTGGGAGCCGCCCTAGGGTTATAAAAAAGCCCTAGCCACATCCTAGAACAGGAGAAAGCCTTAGAGAACACCTAGATACAGATTTTTGGAGAGCTTTTGGTGAGAGAAGAATAGGAGTTCACGGGATTTTGAGAAGAAGAAGGAAGATTTGATCGTGGAGACTAAACATCTACATGACCTTTTCTCTCCTCTCTTTTATCTCTTTTTCTCTGTTCTTTTTATTGTTTTCCATGAACCGTGAGTAGATCCACGACTATGGGTTAGGGATTCGTATGTGTTTTGGGTATGTTTGAACCCTAACTTGGATTTCGGTTTTGATTTGATTCGGTTCTATTGATTTGCACTTTTATTGGATTGATGTTTGCTAACCCCTTGATCAATTATCTTGGAT